AGAAGCCAGCTCCATCAGACTTTGTCCACCTTCTTCGGTCTCTAGGGGGTAGCAGAAAAAAAGAGAAAGCAGAAAGGAAGGCCGGCCAAGGCTGATTCTTTCTTTCAGCCATTCCCCGCCCTGACTCCCTCCATTTCCGGCCTGCTGCACTCTAGCTGGCCGAGTGGTGACCCCTACCAGTGTCTCTGGAACAGTGTTTCTCAACCTTGGCAACTTTCAGATGTGTGGACTAAATTCTGGGAGTCAAAGTCCACATATTTTCAAGTTGCCAAGGTTGAGAAACACTGCTCTGGAACCTTAAGAGCTGCGCCAGAAGCTCTCCTTTTCCTTTTCCCGCCCTCCGCCTGTTCCTTTTGTGCTGCATCTTCTCTGCCCAGGATGGAAAGCGGAGGGCAGGCGGGCACCGCCCCTTGTGATCCCGGCGGCAGCCGGTGAATAAGGGGGCAGCGCTTTCCGTGGCGGCTCGGAGGGCAGCAGCAGAGCGTCGCTCGTGCCAACCGGCGGCTGCAGTCGAGGTCCCGGGTGGGGCGGGAGAACCGGCGCGGATCCAGGAAGGGGGGGAAGGCAGCTCTCCCGGCCCCCGCCCGCTTACCGCTCTCCTCCGCCCGCCGCCGGCCTGGAGAATTCGGAGCAAAGGAAAGGGGACTCCGGGAGGAAGTCGCCGCTCGGGCGCCGCCGTCTGCGGCTGCCCAGCGCGGAGAGGGAAAGTGAAAGTTAGGTCGCCGAGCGAAGCGGGGAGAGGGGATCGTCTGCCGCAGCACTCAAGCAGCGTTTGGGCCGGGGCCGGGAAGTCCCGGCACACGGCCAAGAACAGGAAAAGCAAGGGGGCGGGGGACATCCTGCCAATGGTAAGGGCGCGGAAAAGTTTCTTGGAAGTTAGCCTTCCCACCTCCCAATGTAAAATAATAAATCTTTAAGTCGAGCACGACCTCCTGGACCCAACCTTGCAATTTTCTTGGGAAAGCGGTCCTAGCCTGTGACATCAGCCAAGGTCGGGGAGCTGCTGCTGCTGCTGCTGGCTTCGGGTTAGGCGAGTTACCTGAAAATGCCTCCAAACCGGTACTAGATGTAATTGAGGTGCTGGGGCCCGTTATGAAAAAAAAAAAATCCTAATGTGTAAAAAACGTTTTTCCTCTAAAGTTTCTGGAAATGTAGTCCCCTGGGTAAGTTAATTAATCTTTGAGTTCTCTTGCTTTGCTGATACCACGGCCCTTGTTCTGGATGTAGCCTCCCCACCACCACTTGCTCAGTCCAGGCTCTCATATCTTGTACTCTGCTACCCTCTTGTGCTCGGTTTTCTCCTCTTATCAATCCTCAGTTAGCCAGGTTATTGGACAATTGAAGTCAGGTATGCAGTGATGTCATGATGCATATTTAGCCATTACACTCCTGGGTCACGATGTCTGACCCAGGTACATAATTTGCATGGTTTACATTGCATTGTGACATCATGAGGCACGTTTTGTCACCAGCCTCCCTAACACACATGGGTCAATTAAATCTCTAGCAGCAGCACTTGCACAACCTTAATTTTGTTTGTGTCTTCACATATTGTGTGAACTGTGCCCATTTAGTAGTTCTGCATTTAATGAATTATGCAAAAGTCCAGTCACTCATTTAAGTGTGTGGTGCATGTTGGAAAATTACTATGAGTAATTTCCAGTTTAGTTTGCACTCAGCACACTTCCAGTCAATCCCTATATCCCAATCAGAGCAAGCGCCCAGTGCCACTAAATTCAGCGAGCAAAAATATAGCTTGATGTTTATTAAACATCAACATCGAGAAACAGTTAAGTGGCAAAAGGGGACCAAGAGCAGGCAAAAACATGCAGAAACATGAACAATAGGCAGAAGTTTACATTATCTATACTTTATACATTATCAAAAGGCACAGAACTTTCCCGAGCCACTGGAAACAATACTGTGGATAATTAGCATGGACTGTCCCAAAGGCAGTGGCCTTTGGCTGTTCCAATTTTAATCCTTTTAAGTACTTAACAGCATAACAGAGATGGAAAGGAGGACTCCAGGTAATCCATCCGCTATTTTGCACCATAAAGGGAACAATTTGATGGACACGGATGATGTACCCAACAGTGCAGGCAAAAGATCTTTTCAGGGCATAACATCAAAGTGTCTCCAAAAAGATTGTAAGTATATATTACAGACAGATATAATCCACATAGTTTTTAATCATTTGAACTTCACTTAGGCTGATCAATTGAACCAAAAGGTTATTTTTGTCAGAAAGGTGGTGGTAGGAATTTGTTCTGTGCTGCTCCTTGGCCTTAGAGATCTGTTTCGCAATGGGTATAGTAAAAAGCCTCAGTCCAGCTCTATAGAAATTTGGGTTCAGACTAATGCAACACTTGAAAACACATAGTTCTTGCTACCACTTTAAAAACTACCTTTACTTTTGCCCCTATTCCATGAAGAACTAGGCAATCTTACACAGGGAAAGAGACTTATTGTGATTTTTTTGTATATTAATCTTGGTTTAAGATTAATATATAGACCTGTTGACTCAAATAAGTAAACAATTATTTTATATTACTGCTATATATATATATTTTTTTACCAGATAGGTTGTTTTATGATTTTTCTGTTTTGTTTTGTGAATTACCCAGTCTCTTATGTTTGGGACAACATATAAATCATATAAATAAACCATGTAAAAGAAATACAGGTTGGAATTCTGGCATATGTAGACTTGCTCAAATTAGGTTACCAGGCACTAGAGCAATCAGGACTTCATCATGTTCAGTGGAGCTGTAAGCAACGATTATGCTTCCTAGATAACTACGTACTCAGCTACATCCCATATCTATGATTCTTGGGGGTAATGTCCTCCGGTACTCATTAGTTATTTTAGCTTCTGAGCAGACTTACCATATAAACTGTATGTAGAAAGATTTTTTGTTCTTCTTTTTCTGGTTTTTATCATTTTTATTGTTATGGATTTAGTTTGATGTGGTTATTGTGTATCTTGGTACTTTGCTTATATCTTGTACTCTTCTAAAATGAATGAATGAATGAAGCTCCTTAGCAGACTTACCATATGAACTGAGCCAGTGCAGTCTACCTGCTTAGGGTAGGCACGAGGCCACATATATAAAGCTGGCCTTTGAGAAATGACCACTGCTGGAAATGTCTTTATCCTGTGAGCAACTGCCAGAACAATTGCCTTGTTTCCTGGGACTGACCACCTAGACCAAGACCTGGTATGTACTTACCTTTGCTCTTCTCTTGACCTTTTCATTCAGAGAACTTTTACTATCTTAATTGACTTGTAGATTATAGGACCGTCTTTGCTTCACTGCTTGGTGTTTGGCTAGAAGAAAAACTTAAACATTCTGGTGTATGTCAAGCACAGCATCTCCTCTGGAGGAACAGGTAACTTCCCATAGCAGTGATGTGTGCAGAGTTTAAAATAGAGATGGGAATTTACGGCTTTCTACATATTGTTAAACTGCAAGAATCCCTTGTCATTTGCAATAATTGGTATTAATTCAATATCTGGAAGGCTACAAGTTTCTTTTTGCCAGGTCTAAAAAAATTAGGTAGCTTCAGGATT